TTAATTTGAGTGGGATTATGCTACGGATTTTGTGCAACATATATGGTGATCTTGAATCAGACATTGTGCAGATTCTTTGGGAAAATATCGTGAAGATATTCCGGAGATTATCGAGAAAATCGTGGAGATTTTATTTTGAGAGAAACTCGTGAAGATTATGGAGATCTTGAAGATCGGATCTGGTGGAAAAAAAAATTGTGGAGATTTTTATAGATTATTTGGGGAGAGAGTTTTGAAAGATTATTTTTTTAAGGAGATTTGGATTGTACCAACATGAAGTAATACAAGTCTATGTAACGGCCGTGAGGATGCTCACTTTGTGGCACGGACTTAATAGAGAAAAATATTCAGAGTATCGTCTGTGAGTGTGTAAGCGTGTTGAAGTGTTCATCGTCTTTCAGGAGAAGGATTTGTTGCTTTCGGTAGGAAGCGCTCTGCTAGTCGAAGGGAGTTCGCTGAGCAGATACAAGACAAATGGTGCTCGCTAAATAACATTACAGTGGAGATTCGTTACAACGACGTCATTGTCTAGGAATGAGTCCTTGAGTAAATAAATCTGTCCGGTGACTATAATTCCTTGGAACATAGTGATTTGTGTACTATCTGGGCGTGACCCCAAATATGTAGGTTTGCAAACCAAACTGCAATACCATATCGTGTATTCTTTTATTTTCTGCATTTTATTTTGAACAAATTGAATCCGGAAATTTATCACACCTACACTTAAAAAAAAAAAAAAAGTTATGGTTTGGTCTTGGGCCACGGTCTTTTCCTGTTTCTTGATTTGTTCGGAGTTTCTTATAGTCGTTCTGCTCTTTAGCTTAGCCAAGGCTCGTTCTTTTTCCTTAATCCTTTCTAACGTGACGCTGTCATTTCGTATTCTTTACAACATCATCGCTTTGTTTCTTATCGCTGAGGGATCTCGAGCTCACCATATGGAGGTGGCTTAATGTGGCAGATCTGGGCTTGAAGAAGAACTGCGAGACGAGTTCTTTATTAAGGGTATTTAAGTGCTTTTACTAAAAAACCATTGTAATGTTTCATGCACAAAAAAGAAGTCAACAGTGTGAACCATCGGGCCAACCCATTAACCCGACTCAAACTTACAGCCCTACATCTAAGGCGTTGTCAAAAATGCAACTTTTAAGTGGACGTTAAGAAAGATGCCACTTTTAGAAGTTACTTTTGCGGATGTTGCCAAAATTTTAAACTATGTTTAAAGTCTCACTCTCCCACAAATCGATATATATATATATATATATATATATATTATTAAATTAATCAAGTATGTATATTTATCATCGATAAACGAAATTACATAAATTTGCGTAGAATAATAATAAAAAAAACCTCAAGCCTCAAAATTGTCAATAAAAACGCACGAAATTTTCAAGAAAATCCAAACTAAAAATCTACCTCCAATAGAAACCATCTATTAGTTCCAGAACCTAACAAGAAGAATGTACTAGGTTTAATTTTGCACCACCATATCTCGTAGTGAGAACTAAGGGTTTGTTCAGTTCGCTGATTCAAGTTTTTAATTTGAGTTGAGATCTGACTTTATGTGAAAGCTTTTTACTATAGCAAAAAAATTAGATGTGACTGTTTTTTAGAGCTTTTTACTGTAGCAAAACACGAATTATAAACTCGAATCGGTAAAATGAACGGAGCCTTCCAATAACTAAATTATTTTGAATTGAGAGGCGACAAGGACGCTAGATGGCTTCCTACTTTTTTAGCAATTAAAAGGGAGTTGCAACATTCCCTTTAGCTGTGGATATTCTTGATAAGTGATGCAGCGTAAACTTAATTATATAAAACTAAAAAATAAAAATAAAAGGGATAGGTCAATTAACCTGTTGATTCACACAAATTGTTAAAGAAACTCCTTCAAAATGTATTGATTCACATAATACCATAAATTGACATCAAAATTTGTTGATTCACAGAGAATATTGAAAATTAAAAAATAAGAAGTGCATATACTCATATTTCATTATAAAAAATTCTTCCTCCTACATGGGATCGAACTAATTTATTTATAAGTTAAACTGCCTCATATTGCAATGAGAAACTACAAATAAAAGTAATAAATTAAATAATTCTGAAAATTGAAAAAAAAAAAGAAAAAAGAAAACTTACATTTGACTTTCTTAGATCAAATTATTAAAAACAATGAAACTTTCTTAGTTGTGAAACTTTTCTTCCACATTAATTGTCTTCGAACACACCATATTAATTTCTTTCACCAAATAGGCCGCATCAATGCAAGTCACAAGCATCGTCATCTTTACGGTTGTTTGTGAAGGTGTATTGAGGTGACGTTTTTTAATATTGTTGTTTCTTCTTCTTTTGCAGATTATACTTGTTGGAAGGTGCTTTTGAAGTCATTCAAAAGTGCAAAAAAAAAAGCAAAAAAAAAAAAAGCCGATTAAACGTTTCATATTGTAATAAATGAGCGATTAAAACTCCAAATAGTATGAGAATTAAACTCCTCATTTTCAATGTACTATAAAATAACCTCATTTCAATTGTTGATCTTACGGTTTTTTTCATGTCTTTAAATTTTTCTTAACATTCTTGACTAATCATCTTGGTTGATCTAAATTTCTTGTTCAAGAACGTTGATTTTGTGTGGGGCAAAATTTTGCCCTAATATTTTGACTTTAGAAGGAGGGTCTGTGTGATTAACATCCACATTGTCATCGAACTTCTAAATTTTTATTTCATAAATTAATATTCCAACGAAATTAGAAGCAAGAATGCTTCCAACAAGGAACAAAGCTTCGAGCGAGATCAATCAAACGACTCATGGCCAACCGAAGAAAAGGAGTGTGGCGAACCACACAAAACCCTCGACTTGTACAGGTAAGGACAATATCATATTTATGATCTGTTTAGTTTACTGATTCGAGTTGAGATGTGACTTTATATGAGAGTTTTTTATTATAATAAAAAAATTAAATGTGATAATTTATGAAAACTTATTACTGTAGTAAAATTCGAATCGGTAAAATGAACGGGACCTTAGTTTTTAAAATTTTACCCATCCAAGTGGTTGCTTTTGTACTGTTTTTGATAGTCAGTATATACTTTTTTATATTAATTTCTTCAATAAGAGAGGCAGGTATGAAAGAATCCAAGGAAAATTAACTTTTCATAGAAGCATTTTCTTTCTATTTTATATTTGTTCACTTCTAAGTTATTTTACCATCTTTTTCTTTTTTAAGAGTTTAACCACCATTATTTACTTTACTTTGCCTCCACGTTTATTCTGATTGATTTTATCAAAAGCTTTGCTTACTCTAATTAGATATTCAGCCTTAAATAACTAACAATTAATGCATTGAGGCATACCCGAATTTCGTTATCAATTAAATTTATAAAGATTATTAAGTATTATAGCAGCCCTAACTTATAAAGAAAATTTTCAAGAATTGACCCTTAAAATTCAATAATATGAAATCAATATTATCTCCTTTGTTCAGTATTACCCCTTCGTTTAAGTTCAAGCGATCTAGTTTAATAATGGGGCAATTATAATTAATGAGATCAACAATAAAAAAGTTGAACTTTTCTTATTTATAAAACATTTTAACAGAAACGAATTTATAAAACTTAGTAGATAAGAACAATTGTCATTTTAGAAAATAATATTTGCGATGATTATTTTTAGGCAAAAATAACGTTTTATTTTTTTTGTTTTTATTAACTAGTCACTATATATAGTTCTATTAAGGTTTTCAAGAGAAAAATAAATTAGGGTTGTTGACAAGAATCATCTGAACTTTTTATAGACACTGACAGTTGACCTCATTTCATTTTCTTTTTTTTTTGTGTGTGGCAAATTGACCCCAACGTCTTTAGACAGTTGACCCAATGCACGTGACTCACGTGACCCAGATGGTTAGTGGAAAGACGAAATCACCCTTAAGAACTTTTCTTTCATTCTAATAGGTCTGTTAATTTTACTGATTCGAGTTTATAATTTGAATTAAAATGTAATTTTATGTGAAAATTTTTTACTGTAATAAAAAAATTAAATATGATTATTTTTTAGAACGAAAATTTGTTTATTGTAACAAAATTTGAATTTTAAATTCGTATCTGAACGGCTTCATCTTCTTCGACACAAAAAAAAATCCAGAAACATCAAATAGGATGATGACTAGTAACATAAAACCCAGAAACAATACAACCTGGAAACCCATAAACAATACAAGAACTTCATCTTCTTCAATGGAAGAACTTCATCTTCTTCAATACAAAAAAACCAAGAAACTCTCTCTCTCTCTCTCTCAAGACCACCACCGGTCAAGTGCTCAATACCAGATCCAAAACTTGATAATTGAGAAACCCATAAAAAAAACCCAAATATTATAAGTGCCAAAACCAAACCCAAAAAAACCCACGAACTAAACAAATCAGAGAAACCCAAATAAGAAACCCAGAAATGGTTTTTCTCTTCTCATTTTTTCTCAGAATCAACATAAACAGCAAACGAACCATGAAAAGAATCAAAGAAGACAAAACATGCCCAGAACAACCCACAATCCAATGAGATCAAAAATATTCAAATCAAAAGTTTTCGGATACCTGCAGGAGCTGCGTGAGCTTGGAACTGAAGGGTGTAAGTAATGGCAAGCGTTGTTAGAGCGAGAAAGAAAAGGGAATTTCTTTCCATGGCTCTCTCTCTCTCTGAGCAACATGTGTTTTTACACATATACCTCAACATCCTAGGTCACGTGAGTGGGCACTTTTCTGACAGATCTAGACAGAAATGATCAAATTTTAATTGTTCAAAAACGTTAATTAGGGGTTGATTTTTCAAAAAAAATTAAAACTAAACTATCAATTTTTAAAAAAATTGGGGACCATTCTTGTCAATAACACAATAAATTAAGAAAAAGAACTAGCCCCATTAAAAATTTAGCATTTGTATATATATGTATATATATATAGATCGGAAAAGAGTAAAACAAACCAACCGCACTTGGGAATACAATGAAAGTATCATCATTATTAATAATTTAAGGTGGCCATAGTATTGAGTGGTGTCATGTCACCTCAAGGCTAGCTGAAAAGAAAAGAAAAGAAAAAGCACAAAATATAATTACAATAATTATTAGTAGTGAAATACATAAGCAGTGTACTCAACAATGGCATCGCCGGTGTTAAGATCGAAGTTGTGAGTCCTCACTTGAACATAACCTCTAGCGAACCTAAACAATCCACTCCCTCCAATCACAGGCATTTCTCGGACTTTTGAAAAAACTGGGTTCCTTCCCAACACAGTGATTGTGCTTCCATTGTATTTGCCTTGAAGGAAAGCAAAATTCATAGCCATTATAAGGCCGACCTCTTGCTGCGCCGCGGAGGCGTAAAAACCCTGCGCTTTTCCTATCAGCTTCGAGCTCAGCTCCGGCCGTTCCGTCATCGGGTTGTCGATCATCCTCACCATGCCAAAGGCGGTCGAAGCATTCGTCGGCGGTTGGACGACTACCACCGCGCTAGGGTTCGGGCCGCTGACGATGTCGTGCCAGTAGAAGCGGAAATGGCTGAGCTTTTCTTTGCCGAGGCCTAATTTGTTGGGGTCAAGTCGCCTCACAAAGGCGGCGCCGCGGCTTTCTCCGGTAGTTCTTGCAAAACATATAAAAGAGAGGAGTGATAAGAGAGTGAAGAATGTGTGTGAAGAGTTTGCTGGGAAAACTCCTCTTTTAGCCATGGAATTAGTTAGGGCGCTGAATTACTAGAGATGTATGCAAAGGGAAAAATGGATTCTAGTTTTTTATGTATGGAAAAGATAGAGAAATTGGTTTGGTAATTTAGTACCAGAAATTGATATTTTATGTTCCAAAGATCAATTCATCATCATTGTTGTCACCAACCGAGTATATAGTGGGAAGTCATCATCTTTTGTGCACCTAACGTTTCCCATCAGAATTATCACACTAACATATTACCTTGAAATTCGTGCGCAAATAATGCACATCATATTCAATTTGAAAGTCGAGGAAAAGGGCAAAGAAAATTATAAAGTCGTACTTTTTCTTTTTTATTTTTTCCAATAATTTAGAAATTTGGAATTTTCTTCCTTCTTTAACCGTGTTTTTGGTATGCATGAAAAGTAAAAAGAAAAAAAATATTAGAGGGATTTTGAGATGAAAATTAAGAAGTTAGTTTGTTTGGTAGAAATAAAATTAGAAAAGAAAAGAAATTTGAATGAAAATTTTTATCGGTGAATCTCATCATATTTAATTTTTTTAAAAGTTGATGAATTTTAAGAAGAAAAATATAGATAACTACATCAATGAAGTTAAATTACTCCTCATTTTTCATCTAAAATTGTCTTTATTTGGGCAAAAAAGTAATTACATCAATAATAATTTTTTTATTTTTTTAGTTTCAATTCTAATACTAAATAAGAGAATGTAGATTCATTTTTTTTTCTTCCTTATCAAAGAGAAAATCAAAATATTTTCTATTATTTTAAGTTTCTATGCATTACAATTTTTCTTTTCCGCTTATTTTCTTTTCTTCTTACCAAACAGAAGTCATGATCTTACAGATATTTGACACTTAACCCTTTGATTTCTTTTTTTTTTTTTTTAAGTTTATTCTCTGAATAGAAAGAAACAAATTTGATAAATGTTTGAAATGCGACAACCCAATATTAGTAAAGTCTGGATTGAATTCTTTGGTAAAATAGTTCCAAAAAAAAAAAAAAAAAAAATCCCTGGGCAATTGCTTCACGGTCACGTCTATCTATTTTTTAAGTTTTAAGGACAGGCATGTGCTATTGAGCCCTGTTTTGCTATGAGTTCTTGGGGCATTGCGTAAAGCACAAGCACGGGTGCCATAGCTCTTTTCGTGTATCGCACTAAAGGCTCCTTATCTTTACTTTGTATTTACATATAAATATAAGTATAAACATAAACATAGATATAAATGAATTCTATGCATGGTTCAATCACATATATTTTCTTGTCCAAGTTCATTACGGACTATTAAATATTATTCATTAATTTAAGTTTAAATTTAAGAACTTGAGTTAAAAGAGAAATTTAAACTCAGATTTAAACTCTAAACTCAAGTTCAAACTCAAGTTTAAACTCAAATTTTACAAACAAATATGAACTTAAAATAAAATTATAACTTGAGTTTAAATTTTTTTAAATTTTACTCTAAAAAAACAAGCCATTAATCATTTAAGAAGTAATTAATCACTTAGAAGTACTAGGGACATAATAGAGCAATTAACTTGTATTTTTTATTGAACTAGTTGGAGAACGTGCTTTCGCACGTGTAAATTTAATTTTGTTGAATTGTTGGATACACACACAATTTAGTTTATTTTCTTAATTTATTAATTATTTAAGGGTATATTTGAGAAAATAGTCTAAAAGAAATTCGTTAAGAAGAAAATGTTTAAGTACTAGGACAAGTATTTATAACGGTCATATTTAAACAAAATAATGTTTTCCAAGGCTACAAGAGATAATATTTATATATTTTTTAGGCATACATTTGACAAAAATTATTTCAATATGGCATATAAAAAGATTATTTTAAAAAGGCACATTTTAAAGTATAAATTTCAAAAGTAGTATTAACACGTGTATTTTAATAAAAATTACATGTATAGACAAACGAAACACATTTAAAAATATTAGAAAAAAAATAATAGTATAGTAATTATTAGCCTACATATGAAAAGGAGACGTTTTTGTAAGTAAAAATTCATTGTGAAAAATTACTGAAGTGGAGAAAATTTAGAAAGTGCATTTAAAAGCCACGTTTAATAGAATAATATTTATAAATATGTAAAAATATTTAATTAGGGTATATTTTAAAAGAAGTATTTCAACATAAACAAATATATAGAACACTATAAATATAATAAATGAAAAGGATAATATTAGTTTAGCAAAAACGTAAAAAGTTAAAAAGTTAAAAGGATAATAAAATGATAGTATAAATTTAGGTGAAAATACTCAACAGCGCATCAAATAAATTAAAAAAGTTGGGGAAAAAAAAAATAGAAGCAAAAGACAAAAGCACATAAGGACAAAATAACTTAACTAAAATTGATAGTGTTCTAAAAGGAACTCTCCTTTATAATTTAGTAATAGATAATAGATGTATAGAGCGATTAACTTAACATAATTCCACTGAGGTAAATTATATTAAAAAGGAGATAAGTTAAATTTCATGGTTAAGCTAAATTTCATAATTAGACTAACACAAAATATAAAGAGATATGAAAATATAAATAGTGCCCGCTGTCTAGCGGGGACGCACCTGTTGGGGGTGACTAAAGTGCAGTAGTGCACTTGCAATGGAGAGCTTGCTTAGGGAGGGCCCGGAATTTCAGGCCGAGCCAGGCCGTTCTTTTTAATGGACCAAGAAAGGATAAAGAGAGGAAGGTCGGTCTAGCCTGACTTTAAAGTTTAACGGACTTAGGGTCGGACTATCTAAAATTTATAAGATAATTTAAAGAAAATTGTTTTGAAAAGGGTGTTCGGGTCGGCCTGAATAATATTTTAGGCTCGAAACATCAACTTAGTCTGGCCAGGACACTTAAGCGGGTTGGGACATGATTGGGTTAATAGTGTCGGGCATGAGACTAGCCCAAACTTTCACCTCCAGCTTGGTGCGACTCCCCTTTTGCATTTGTCCCATTTTGAGGCTTTGTTTTGATACTTTAATTTTCCCTATATGTCATTTTCACCTAATTCACTTGCATAAATGATGAAAAAGTAAATATCTAGCAGGGGAAAACGACATAAAGAAAAAATAAACTAAAATCTCAAGAATATAATTAATATATATGTGTGTTAAAATAACTCTATTTCATAGAGTTGGTGATATAATTTTATTTAGTACCAGTTTACATCAAATTAACAAGAAATTCAACGTTCCACTTATATTGACTATTAATTTTCATCAAATCAAGAATTCAACGTTTCCCTTCCGAACTGTAGTGTAGAATATATGAGCACTGTCGGTGCAGTGTTAAATTTGTGTGTTAATATCAAATTTAAAGTATTTAATTCGAAAAATCACTCCAATACAATACTATTTTTAGTGTTAAATTTGAAATATGTTATATACATGGTGGTAAATTTGTCACTAAGTGTAACATATGCTAAATTGGAGTATTTAATTGTTTTTGATATATATTTATTTCTTCATTTAATCATTATATAAAACTAGCATTTCTCATATTAGTTTATAAAATGGGATAAAATCATTTTGGAGTATAAAAATAATTGACCTTTATTTATTATTCAAATGTTACTACAAAAGAGAGAATGCTCTTATAACTCAACTACTCACTCAACTACGATTTCTATTTTTCTTGTCACCCTCACTCACAAGACAAAGCTTTGCTTTGCTTCTGTACTCTCTAAGAAGCTTTACTTCTTTTATTTTCTAATGCGCACAACACAAGGGATGGGGAGCTATTTTATAGTTGAACTAAGGAAATAAGATCTCGTTCACTTCACGAATTTAAATTTTCAATTCGAGTTGAGATGTGATATTTCTTAGGGCTTTTTACTGTAATAAAAAAAGTTAGGTGTAACATTTTCTGAGAATCTTTTACTGTAAAAATCTAAAACTGAAAACTCGAATCGGTGAAATAAACGAGGCTTTAAGATTCTGTTTGTTTTACCGATTCAAGTTTTGTTACAGTAAAAAACTCTCAAACACAGTCACATCTAAATTTTTTACTACAGTAAAAAACTCTCATATAAAATCACATCTCAATTCAAATTAAAAACTTAAATCAACGAACTAAACGAACCCTACGAAAACTCAATAAATAAACTAAATAATTTGATAACCACACAATATCACTTTGAGAAAAGAAGATAAATAATTCTTTTTTTACACTTAATTAATACTTTTTATTTAAAAAATATTATATTAATAAAAAGTAATTAAAAATAAAATTCTTTAAAAAAAAGTGAGTTTACCGATTTTTTTAATCACTTTCTCCTACACACACGTGGCGAATTATTCATCACACATTTTCTTGCGGTTTAACTAAGCTTTAGAACATTGTAGGACTTGGGCTTGAAATGGGCTGACATACACTGGTCCACCAACAAGTTTATCATCTTGCTTCTTCGATCACTGCTCGTGATGTGATGGGTTTAAAAAATGGGTGTAAACCTTTTCTCTTTATTTTTAATAAATAATATTTTATTAATGTAATTATTTAATTAAAAAATATTATAAATTAAGAATTAAGGATAAAAATTTTGATTATGGGTATTGCCGTATTGGTCAAAATTATCTGACGAGTTTTTGACGCTTTGTTTTTTCCTCTTTTTTCATATTTAGAACGTGACAATCCAATAAAAGAAACTTGGCAAATCCAGATATAAACAAAGAAGCTTTCGCACTACTTTGATGGCAACGATTGAATTAGAAACATATTTCTTAAGCACCCATCATACAATTACAGACTAGTTCTCATAATTAGCTCGTCCAAATATTAAAAAGGACTAATCACACATAGCACGGCTAAATGGAAAAAAAAAAAATATTGAAAACCAAGACAAAAAGGAAACTAAACATATAGCACTCAACAAAACAACAACACAGTAGTGACCATATCATGTTGATAAGTTTAATAATGGAGCAGATAAACATTATACTCAACTACGGCGTCCAGAGAGACAGGATCAAAGCTGTAAGTGCTGGCTTGAGCATAGCCCCGGGCAAACCGGAAAAGGCCGCTGCCACTTATGACCGGGATCTCTCGAACCTTGTCGGCGACACGATTCCGTCCGAAAATAGTAATAGTACTGCCATTGTACTTTCCTTGAACGAAAACAAAGGTCATAGCCATCAACAGGGAAAACTCTTCTCTCGAAGTTATTCCGTAGAATCCTTGAGCCCTTCCCAACAACTTGGAGCCCAGCTCCGGCTTTTCAGTCAGCGGATTGTCGATCATGGTCACCGATCCGAACCCGCTCTTCGTTGTCTTATTGCCCTGCGGTTCTACGACTCTCACGGCGCTAGGGTTTCGGCCGCTGTACGTGTCGTGCCAGTAGAACCGGAAGTGGCTGAGCTTCTCCTTTTTGAAGCCAAGAAGAAGCTTTTGATCGTCTATGTCTCTCTCTTCTTCTTGATCTGCTGAAACCAGGGCAGCGCAAATGAGGAGGGACAGAAGTGCAATCTTTGAGATGGGAAGGATTCTACTAGCCATGGTTGAAAAATGAGAAGCTCCTTCTTTTTCTTGGTTTCACTTGCTAGATCTGTGCTTGAAGTTTGGAAATATATATGTATATGTGTACATATATTATTCTTAGCGTTTGCAAAGAGTAAAGTTTTTTTTTTTGTTTTTTTTTTTTGGTGGAATTGAAAGTTGGGTCTCTTTAATTGATGCCACGTCATAGACATGATAGAAAGTAGGGGTAAACCAGTCCATCAAGCATTGGTGTAAAGCTGTCGGAAGGGTTTTGTGAGATAAGATTTGAGTTGTTACTTGTTGTGGGACATATTTAAGATAAGATTTTAATTTATTATAATAAAAATATTATATGTAATTATTTTAAATTTTTTTTATTATAATAAAATTTAAATCAGTAAAATAAATGGAATTTAAGGACATTGTTTGGTTCATGGATTAAAATCATGTGATTAGAACTATTTTTAATTTACGTGTATTTTTTATGAGAGAAAATACTGTAATAAACTATAAACCATAATTCAAATTATAATTTGAATCCTCCAACTAAACGACTCCTAAATTTTTATAAAAGAGAGAGTGCTCTAACACTATTAAGCACTGTAGTTGAGGATTTTTGAGATTTTTTTTCCTTTTTTTCTTTGTTCTTTTTTAAGAGCATCTTTTTTTGGAGTTCTGTAAAGAATAAAAAACAGCCACCGACAGCGGGGAAAGTGCTGCATCATTTATTGATTTATTTATTTTTTTTGTTTTTTTGGAGTAAATATTAATATGTGACTGTGAGCACGTATTAGTAAATTTCTATTAGTAACTGACCTTTAATATTAAGAACAAAAACTATTACTCCATAGAATATAGATTACAAATGTGGTGGTCGAGCGTCACGTCACTAGCAAGCGAAGCCAAACCTTCTTTTTTTTTTTTTTTTTTTTTTTTTTTTTTTTTTTTTTTTTTTTTTTTTTTTACATTTTGAAATATGTTGTCTTCAATTACGTATCATTTCATATATTTATTGCTACAAAGAAGAATTCGAAGGCAGAATTCAATTCCTAAAGCTGCAAAAGATCAGTTTTAATGTTTACATGTGATTACTTTAGGGGTGTATTGTTGTTCAAGTGTACAAGGACAATTGAGAAACACGCGCAGCATACAAAAATATACTATGGTTTCGTGTACGATTGTGTGTTTGTTCTCATTCATGAAGGAAACCTATTTGTCATTTTTCAAAAGAAGTTCTTACAGAATGTGCTTCCATTTTTTGCCATTAGAATCGGCATTTTACCGGCTGCGCTCAACATCGGTTCCACGTGGTAAAAAGACAAGTGTCTCATTTATTTTATCGATTCGAGTTTTGTTACGGTAAAAAATTCTCAACAATAGTCACATTTAACTTTTTTATTACAATAAAAAATTATCACATAAAGTCACGTCTTAACTCGAATTAACGAATTAAATGAGCCCAAAAGGTATGTTCTTTTCTCAAACTTGAGTTATGAACTTGCATTTAGTATGTGAGAGAAAACATTGTAGTAAAAAAATAATTTAAATTTTTATGAGAAAAAATATTATAATAAAAAATTGTAATTGTGATTCGGTAAAAGAATATCCCAAAATGTTTGTTATAAGTTTCAAGCGGACCTATGTTTATTTAATTGGAAAAAAAGCGAGACTGCTCCTTTTATTGCTCTACACGGCATGCATGCGGAGCATACTCTGGAGTTGGGAAAACGGGAGCCGATTAATGTTCTACTTGATATTAACTGCTGCTTAATTCGCAACAAGTCATTCAAAGGACCTATTGTCTTTAAAAACATTAATGAATTATACATAAATCATGTGTTTTTAGTTTAATAATGGTTGAGTTTAATGGATCCTGAAATTTTTTAAATAATAGCACCAATAATCTCTTTACAAAAACATAAATAATAATAATAGAGATGTAGCTAGCTAAGGCCAAAGGGCCCGCCATCACCCTTGGCCCAGCTAGCTTGTTTAGTGTACTTAAAAAATTATGGAAAATAGTAGAAAATCGGTAATATGAAAAATTTAAGAAAATATATAGGTTAATTTTTAGTTATAAAAGTTAATAGGTAATAACTTGTCAAGTTATGGTTCATAACCAGATAAGTTATGGATAAATTTGTTAAGTTATAGTTCATAGTCAGACAACTTATGGACAATTATAGACAATAACTTGTCAAGTTATGGTTCATAACCAGACAAGTTATGAATAAAAACAGTAATTTAGCCTATTTATTAACTTATGTAAACTATTGGCCTATTTATTTTAATTCATCTCAAGTTTTGGCCTATTTCCCTCTTTCTCCTAAAAATTATTGTTTTACCTTATTTTTTCATGTTTCGCCGCCATCACTCTCGGCATTTTACCGGCTGCGCTCAGCATCGGTTCCACACGGAAAAAAGACAAAGGGCATATTCTTTTGTAAAACTGATCCGTTTAGTTCGCTAATTTAAGTTTTTAATTTGAATTGAGATATAATTTTATGTGAGAACTTTTTACTATAGTAAAAAAGTTAGATTGACTGTTTCTGAAAATTTTTTACTGTAATAAAACTCGAATCGGTGAAATAAACAAGTCCCGATGAATTTGAGTTTAATATGTGAGAGAAAACATTGTAGTAAAAAAGTAATTTAAATTTTTGTGAGAAAAAATATTGTAGTAAAAAGTTTGAGTGTGATTTGAGTTAGGTAAAAGAACATCCCAAAAATGTTTGTTGGCCTCATTCATTCCACTGATTTGAGTTTTTATTTTTACGTTTTTACAGTTAAAAACACTCAAAAAATATCACGTCTAATTTTTTTTACTATATTTAAAAACTCTTAAAAAATATCACATACCAACTTAAATTAAAAACTCGAATTCACAATTTTCAGCGGATCTATGTTTATTTAATTGGGAAAAAAGTGAGACTGCTCCTTTTATTGCTCTACACGTAGCATGCGGAACATACTCTGGAGTTGGGAAAACGGGAACCGATTAATGTTCTACTTGATATTAACTGCTTCTTAATTCACAAGAAGTCATTCAACGAACCTATTGTCTTTAAAAACATTAATGAATTATACATAAATCATCTTTTTAGTTTAATTATAATTGAGTTTAATTCTTTTAATTCTATTGGTGGATCTTGAAAATTTTTAAATAATAGCACCAGTAATCTCTTTACAAAAAATAATAATAATAGAGATGTAGCTAGTTAAGGCCAGAGGGGCCGCCGTCACCCCGGGCCCAGCTAGCTTCTTTAGTGTACTTAAAAACTTTATTATTTTACCTTATTTTTTCACGTTTAGCCTCCATAAAATTTTCCATTTCTGAGTTTTGTGTTTCATTTTTATAAGTCTTCATTTATGTACTTAAGTTTGATACAAAATTTATTTTGATATTTTATGTAGATCGAATATCTAAAAATTCATCTACACTATTAATAATATGGCTCCTACAGCTCCACTTTCATTATTGGGGAAATTCTCCCACAAAATCTTTAACCATTGAATACGATGACATGACATTTTTAGGCTCCGTTCATTTTACCAATTTGAGTTTTATTATAGTAAAAAACTCTTAAAAATAATCACATCTAACTCTTTTGCTACAGTAAAAAACTCTTACATAAAGTCACATCTCAACTTGAATTAACGAACTAAACGGGCCCTTAAATTATAGAATGACAATCCCATATATTGTGGAAGTTGTAAGAGCATACAGACTAGTTAATAAAAAGCACAAGTGAACCCCACTACTAATTAGTTTGTCTAAGCCTGTTTGGTTCATGGATTAGAATCATGCGATTAGAATCATTTTTGATTTATGTGTATTTTTTGTGAAAGAAAATACTGTAGCGAACCATGAATTATGATTCGAGTCAGAGAACGAATCCTCCAACCAAACAAGTTATTAAAAGGACTAATCATATATATTTAATGGGTGAACATAACATGGATAGAAATGTAATTATTAAAAATTCTTATATAAAATCGCCAACTGAAAGTAAATATATTTTATTGAAAGCCAAGACAAAAGGAAATTAAACAAACAGTGAACAAAGCAACAACGGCGTGGCCACATGCATGTTTTAGTTTAATAATGGAGTAGATAGACATTATACTCAGCCACGGCGTCCCCAGAGGCAGTATCATAGCTGTAAGTGCTGACCTGAGCATAACCCCTAGCAAACCGGAAAAGTCCGCTGCCGCCGATGACCGGCAACTCTCGAACCTTGTCGGGGACGCGATTCCTCCCGAAAATAGAAATAGTACTGCCATTGTACTTTCCTTGAAGAAAAACAAAGTTCATCGCAATCAGCAGGGAAAACTCTTCTTGTGAAGATACTGCATAAAACCCTTCGGCCCTTCCCAACAACTTGGAGCTCAGCTCTGGCTTTGCGGTCAACGGATCATCAAACGCGGTCACCGTTCCGAACCCGGTCATAGTTGTATGGTTGGCCGGCGGTTTTACTATCGTCACGGCGCTAGGGTTTTTGCCGCTGTATGTGTCGTGCCAGTAGAACCGGAAGTGGCTGAGCTTTTCCATTTTGTGGCCAAGAAAATGCTTTTTATCATCCCCGTCTCTCACGAGCCCATATTCTTCTTCTTCTTTATCTGCCGAAACTAGGGCAACGCAAATGAAGAGGGACAGAATTGCAATCTTTGAGATGGGAAGGATTCTGCTAGCCATGATGGTTGAGTAAGCTGATCTTCTTTTTCTTGGTTTTCCAAATTAGATCACCATTTGGACACACTCACACTCACACACACACATATATATATATATATATATATGCATTACAATTCTAATTTACATTATTACCATCACCAAGTAAAATATTATTTTGTTTGTCTCAGGACTCAGCCTATTTTCTAAATCACGTTATTTTACCGTTTAGCCCTTTAAATAATTTGACTAACATTTAAAATTGTCTGGCACGTCATTTTCAGATCCAGATGAGTATTCTACCCAACGGTGATCAGCTTTGGTTGGTATAATGTTAACACGTGAAACCTAGCTACCAAGAACATACATAGGCCGTTAAATTCGTTGATTTGAGTTTTTAATTTAAATTGAGATGTGACTTTATGTAAAATTTTTTTACTGTAATAAAAAAAATTAGATGTGATTATTTTTAAAAATTTTTTACTGTATTAAAACTCAAATTTTAAATTTAAATTAATAAAATAAATTGTAACAAACAAAATTAAATGTGATTATGAATACTTCTAGAGTTTTACAAAGAGTTAAATATGGGTCTCTTTTTAATTGAATCAAATGCAGCACATGGTATTAATGGTCAAAGTTGTGCTTGCTTATAGTCGAGTCAAATATGTATCAACAAATCTGATGATGCCACGTTATTCTTGTGATAGAAACAGACGTTAAATTAGTCCATCAAAGGATTCGTCATCGGCTCTCTAAAAGAATTAAATTGACTCGCGTTTGACACGTGGTGTGTTTTAATTGGACTAACGTGGTTTGGTGGAGATAAGGACATAAGGTTTATAAGCATATAATGGGCTTGGGTGTCTAGAATTTTAATCTCACGACGAAGCCATGAGGAAGTTGACCTTGCTTTAAGTTGCTTTGTTGGACCGGACTCCTCACTCTTCTAGAAGGGAAATAAAGAATGAGAAATTTTCACATATTAGAATGCGTATTAGGATCCGTTTAATTCGCTGATTAAATTTTTAATTTGAGTTGAAATATAATTTTATATAAAAATCTTTTACTATAGTAAAAGAGTTAGATATGATTATTTTTAAGATATTTTTACTATAATAAAACTTAAATTATAAACTTAAATCGGTAAAATGAACGGATTATAAAGAAATAATACTATTTTATTTCTATCATTATTTTAAAATTTATTTTATATCAATAATAATTTATAGATTTTTTTTTATAATTTATAGGTTACTTTACACAATAATATTAAAATTTTAGAAATTATAATTTATAGGTTACTTTACGTAATTTATAGGTTAAAACAAATAATGGTTAAATTAGAAATTTTAGTGCTAACTGTACTCACTGTAATAGTGGAGTATCTTTGGAGTTTTGCAAGGAATAAAAAAACCACCGATAGAAAGGAAAGTGCTGCATCGTTTACTAATTTATTATTATTATTTTTATTTTTTATAGCTTTATTTTATTTTATTTTTTTTTTGGTGAGTAAATACTCTACAAATTCTATTGAGGACGTATTAAATACATTTTGTTGACTGACCATTAATATTAGAAAAACCTATATTCAAATCTGGCGGTCGAGCCGTCCGTCACTAGCTATCACGTCCCCAGGCAACCACTATTTTTGACATTTTTGAAATTCGAAAGTCATCAATTGTGCATCATTTCACAGATTATTGCTACAAAGACGAATTCAAAGGCAGAATTCAAATCTTAAAGCTGCAAAAATCAGTTGTAATCTTTACACATGATTACTTTAGGGGTGTATTGTTGTTTAAGCGTGAAGGGACAATTTGAAACACGCGCAGAATTCATATTTGATTAGTGGGTAGTGTCAAGTATTATTAGTGTCCAATAATATTTATTCATGTGTGTTTGTTCTCATTCATGAAGGAAATTAACTTGTCATTTTTCGAAAGGGGTTCTTACAGAATATGCTTTAATCTCTACTTGATATTAAAGATTCGTTTGTTTTATATACTCAAAATTAAATTATTAATTTTGTTACATTATTTTTCTCTTATAAAAAATTTGAATTTTAACTGTCGAAATTAAAAATCATGGTTTAACTGTCAAAATTAAATTTGTTACATTATTTTTCTCTCATAAAAAAATAGAAAACCATTGAAAATAAAGTCTATATTTGGGCTGATTAATTAGAAAACCTTGAAAGTTGAAATCTATATGCTTCATTCACATGATCTAGATTCACCTTTTCTGCATAGTAATGCATTTTCTTTTTCGGCTTGCATTGGACTGGTTTGGTTATGGGATTTCATGATCGAAGCAAACTAGGCTTGGGAAGAAAGCAGTGAAAAATAATTAATGTTATTTTTTCTCACCATTTTCTGATGTTCCTATGTTTAAAAAGAAAACATGATTTTCCGCTAAAAAAAGAAGAAGGAAAATATGACTTTTTGATTAATCGATTGTTAGGTCATTCAACTGGATTTTAATTTGCATGATTGTCTAACATAATTGTTGATCTTGGACGTTTGGTTGGAGGATTTAAACAATGTGATTCGAACTATTTTCGATTTACGTAAATTTTTTGTGAGAGAAAATACTGTAGCGAACCACGAATCATGATTCGAATCAGGGAATGAATCCCTCTACCAAACAGGACTCTGGCCCTGTTCACTTCACCGATTCGAATTTAGAATTTGAGTTTTGCTACAGTAAAAAGTTCTCAGAAACAGTCACATCTAACTTTTTTGTTACAGTAAAAAACTCTCACATAAAATCACATCTCAACTCGAATTACAAACTCGAATCAACGAAGTGAACGAGCCGTTTTTTCTCATTAATCGATCATTATTGGTTTCATTTTTTGTTGTAAAAAGAACTTATGAAGCAGAGATTTTTTCCCAGTGGATTGAGATTGATGTTAGCAAAATGACATTTAAAAGTCTGTAGAGTAGGTACACAAGGTAGAATATAGCTTTCTATCCCGATCGTGATTCACACGATCCTGCGTGGATTAGTCTAGCTGTTTTTTTTTATTTTTTTTATTTTGTTTTTATTTTTTATAATTGTTATAGAAGCTGTATTATATAGGCCGTTTATGTATGTAAGTGTACTGTCAAAAAATTTAAATGGCAATAAAAAAATGGGCATTAAGAGAAAATTGAAATAGTTGATATATGTGACTTATATCAATTCTATATGTTGGAATGTTGAAAAGTTGATAGTTGATACATGTGACTTTCAACCAAAAAAAAAGTTTATATATATATATTGTAATAGTTAATAAAGGTTTTTTTTTTTTTTTTTTTTTTTAAAAAAGTTTTTTTTTTTTTTTTTTTTTTTTTTTTTAGGGAAGTAATAGTTGATAAAGTTGAAATCGTGTGTTTTTTTTCAACATATCATATTTGAACATAAGTTATCTTTAATATTTGAACACAAGGATTATATTACTATCTTTGTTATCTTGACCATTTAAAAAAAAAAAAGGAGAAAAATGATAGAAAAATGACTTCATGTTGTAGAGAAAAGGTTTCAAGATATCATGATCATACTTTTAAAAAAAATGTAAAGATACCATTTTAATATTATAACAACACATGGTACTAAAGTGACTTTTTTTCTCTTTGTAAATAAGATTGTTAATTGACATAATATTTTTCTGTGAAATATGATTTTTGAGCAATTCTTCTTAGAGAAGCAAATTTTTATTCTTACTCTCTAATTGTGAATACTTCTCTCTATATTAAGGCCATCTATATTGAATTTAACCAAACTGCACACAATTTTATATTATTCCTTTAGGATTGTCGTACTCACATATATATGATTTTTACTTCCTGTCATTATTACTAGAGAGGGACTGCGCTTATTGTATGTTTTTTATACAACTTGCTTCGTACTCTTTATTTCTATATTTTTTAAAGAATTAAAAATTTTGCTTAAATAATTTATGATTGATAATTAGTCTGTACATTATTTAAATAAGCACGAAAAAAAGAACAATGACCAATAATGAAAAACAAATTTTTTGTATGAAGGAGTAATTCCAAGTAAAACGACAGTAATCTAATTATCAGCTTCACTATTAGATCAAAATGACTTGCCGTTTTGCAAGAGGGAGAGCTAGTGTACAACCAATCACAGATGCACACGTGGATTGCTTAATGAGTCGGTGTTGACTATTTCGACTTCTAGTGTATAAGTTTATTCTGGCTTCTTCGAGAGAATTCGATTCACTTTTAGAGAGAGTCGAAAACAACTTGTAGAGAGAGAAAGAGAGAATTTGTGCATTTTGGTTGTTGAGAGAAAAATAGAGAGCTTTCTAGGGTTTTTCTCCTGTAAACGTTATTGGGATTCTTTCTTGCAGCTGTTTTCGAGTGGATTGTTTATCTCTCTGGGTTTGTGAGTTGTGTGGGTGTAATCTTTAATCTAATAGTAGAAGAGTTTCTTGTGAGAGAGCTTAACGGGGACGTAGGGTAAATTCTTTGTCCGAATCTCGATAAAATCTGTTGTGTTGATTGTAATCTTTCTCATTTCAATTTTCAGAGTCTTGTGTTGGTTTCAACCTAACAAAGTATCCTTATAACTAAATTCTTTAAGATCCATTGAGTGTTATTCATTAGTTATTTCCTATTTATTCTTAGCATACATTAGAATTCTAGACTTTTATAACGAACACATATAACAAGAATTCGCTAAAGAAATTCTGTATACATTATAATTCTAGACTTTTATATACATCGTCTGTTTTTAAAAATTTTAAAAAGGTCTATATATGATATATATATATATATATATGTTTAAGAATTAGTAAAACGCCTCACACGTTCAATAAAAAAACTTAAAAAGAAAGAAAAAATCTGTACTTAGATAAACGCGCACCACATATCTTTATGGATTAAAATTCTCGATCGGCCAAACAAATTTGCTAATAGATAGCATGAGTTATTATTATAGTTGATTATCTGAGGGAA